TCAAGGGGCTTTGTATGGTGGATGCGGGATGAGGAAGTGCCGTGAGGGAGGTTGGCAGCGAAGCCGCCCCGGGAGGCCGCGTCATTTGCATCGACCGAAAAGAGGTAGGCAAGCAGCTTGTCCACGCACCTAGGCACCAAACTACGCCAAAAAGGGTAAACTACGCGATCGCCCTTCGTGTTAGTATCATTTGAGTCTGCGGCACCGCATTCAAGCGAGCATTCGGAGCATAGACCCTCTCCAAAAGCCTTTTCTATACGGGGTAAGGTAATATTAATGAAATCATACAGAAATGGGTCTACACGTACCTTCTCTTGCTGCTCATCATTGAAGCTCGATGCGGTGGTGGGATCATGAGGTGGAATAGCGTAATATAATGGATACGCCAGAACTAACAGCTTCCACTGTTTAATACTCAATTCCATCCTCTGTTCACAACCCTAAAAAGTATAAATATATAAATGTTAAGAATGTATATGTATGCTCAACTCTTTTCTGTTATTATTCTCCACTAATTCAGTGCATCAGAGGTATTTTCTACTCAAACAGCTTCTCGCAAAGACGAACGTAGTAAATTTTAAAGTCAGTTTGATGTCTTATCGATAAAAGGTAAAACTAGGGAATAGTAAACGATGCATCGATGCGCCAATGCTCGTAGGGATGACTTATTATAGTGGTTTATACAACACTAAAACGACACAGAGTAAAAACAACATAAAGCCAATAAGACGGAAAATCACGTTTTGGGTTGCCAATAGCGAAAATTCGATCTTAGAATAAACATTGTTGCATGTACTACACCAGACCCTCTCCTCCTTTTGGATGTCTATTACTCCTAAATATTTATCACAAACCAACCAATACAAAAATCCTTTGTACAAACCAAAATTGCACTTTCGCTTGTGTACTTCTGACGCATAGACATCATGAAAAAGTCCATGTATGTGTACATATATATGAAAGATATGGATACACAAAGAAGTGGATATTGTATTATTGTTTAATAACGCAAGCCAACCCTCACAAATATGTGAACGCCGACTCGACTATATTCACAAATTAAAAAAATAGTATTGGTGTTTTATCTGAAATTAATATACAGAATAGTGTGAACAAAGGTCTGATAATCAATATTATGTATTTAAAAATTACTTGGTTTTGCTTATTTTGATTTTAAATAGGGCAAAAAAAGGTCACGATATATAAAGTATTAAATCTATAAATATATATATTGTGATTACATATATATTTATTATGCATGTGTATATATTTATAGAATATTTTATTGATTCACTCTTCTAAGCATCCGATAGTGGGGAAAAAATATCTACGAGAAAATGTCAAGCGCTGTTAACAGTTTCCTAAAATATATATACATTGAGCTTCTTTCACCATACAAGATAGTGTACAACCCCTAATTAGTAAAACCGAATGCAATTTTCAATGAGGAAAGGTTCGTCCGAAACATAAACTTTTGCCAGTTCCTTGGAGAGGATCTCCTTCACGGCATCCTCGCTTCGGATGTCGTCCTTTGCGCCGATACAAATTGACTTGTCGATAACCTCCTCCAACCAGGAATGGAAATCTGAGAGGACTAAGATCCCGCCTGTGTTGAGCAAATGATGAAAACTCTTGAGCAACTGTCTCGGATTAGGTACGCGAGCGAAGAAGATGAAGCATAAAATACCGCCAAACCTCTAGCTGGGCTTCGTGCGCCTGTATTTAAAATCCAAGTACACTCGCAAGCCCCTGTGGTAAGACTCACCAAACGTATCCCCTTCCTCCTTCTCGAAAAAATTCATGGTGCCACTGAAAAAGGAACGAGCACCGCTCAAGGAATGCAAGCCCTCCTGCGCACCTTATCGACGGCGTGAATGCAAAGAGTAGCCCAATCAATGCAAACCATCCCAACCGCCGAAGGACTTTGGCATCTCGAAGGACAAGAGTACCCATGGTACAATCAATCTCCAGGCCCGGCAAGTCACCTTTTGTCTGTGTTAAATCACTCCCAAACTTGAAGTCCAGGTGCAAGGAGAAGTCATCCACTTGGATAATGCCCCAGATAATTGGGTGCACTGGCATACACATACGAAGGACAAGTCGTAAAACTTGAGGTACTCCAATCCCGCGGTCTCGCCCTTTAAGATGTAATTTTTTTCGTGTGATGGAACGTGCGCTGGTTCGAGACCCCTCGCCGGGAATTACCTCCCCTCGAGCAATAGCATAAGAAGCGAGTACCCAACCACCAACGGAGATGGTGCCCATGACGATCTACTGTTAGCGAATAAATACCATATGTAATAATTTTTTTCAGATCATGCTGGAGCTGGATTCACTGATCGGTGAAAATGTCGCCAATCTTTTAGGCCTGTTTCATTATCGCCTCTATGGGATTTCAAAATGTATAAATTGAAAAAAGTTGATAAACGCTTGCAAATCGGGAAAGGGAATTATGAAAGGGAACTTAAAGACTATGTCAGTATTGATCTAATAAATATTAAAGCATAAGATGCAAGTGTGAAGTTTGGTGTGATCTTTTATCAATGCGCAAAGAAATATTTCAAGGGATAACAAATACGCGATAGATCTGAATGATCTTTTCTTCATGTTTTAGTGACAAAGGATAAAAAAAGACACACTACGATAATGCAGTGGCAACATGGCAGTCATCTAGGATTCAACTCTCAGATCCCTCCCTTAAGAAAAGGAAAATATAAAAATGGATCGTGTATGAACACTAGAGAGTAATCCATGTACTTTACACTCGGGAAATATGAACATGTATCATTTTTCGATTTTATTTTCAATGCCTTGAATAGTAATATAATTAAATGGTTTAGATGAATTTAAAATGTAACTTGTTTATAGATAAAAAATTAGGAATGATACCAATAAAATAGGAAGATAATCAACACCAAATGGGAATAAATATCAACGAATAAAATAATACAACAATAAATAGCTTAGAGAAAAGGATATGACAAAAATGTTCATGTCACATATGTGTATATAGAATGTCCACTGTAGTAGAGGAACGTACTTGAGTACCTAACAAACCCTGCCACCCTAACGTAGCATCCGTATTTAGTACCTCAGATTCGAACAATAAGTAAAGGGATGGTAACAGGTGGCAGTGATCCTTTTTCCTTCCTCTCAGACGCTGAGCTTCAGGGCGATGGCTAAGTTAAACAGATCAAAAGTAAAACCCTGACTGTAAAGCATCTAAAGATAGGTCGATTTACGCCTACACTATTCTTGGTGTAGTCCGTAATATAAGGTTTAACTCAATACAAGCT